TGTAAGCAATGTTGTTTACAAAGGTGGGCTTTTGTATACTATATTTGCAACTTTTCATGAAATGTATCACAACTTTACCCGATTTAAAATGTAAACATCTATGATATGTGACGCTCCTTTTATGTGCTCATATTGAACAGAGATTTACACTACTTTTAAGAATAGTGTGTATAACGGCGCCGGTGGTGTAGTGGTAAGCGTGATTACCTCTCACCCCAGCAAGCCTGGGTTTAATCCTAGTCGGTGCCGCCGGGATGTTCTGAGGCATAACATCTCTGATCACGCCTTCCTTCGGATGGGAAGTAAAGCCGTTGGTCCCCGGTTCATGAGTTGATGAGTCGATAGGTAGGGTCCAGGTGTGGGAGCTGCCTTCCTGGCACGTCGGTAGCATTGGTGCTCAGCACGGAAAACAATATCGACGGAAAAAACAAACCAAAGGAAAAAAAAAATAGTGTGTGGTGAAAATGAAGCACGGTCGTTTATCGGACCATCCTGCTATGGCAGAGGCATGCGAACGATTGCATTTATCTACAGTCGTTACAATAGAATGGTAGGCATGATAACACTATGCTTGCAGCACTTGAGTTTTTGGGTAGGTTAGATGCACACGTTTTGCACAAACAATGCGTCTAATGTAATTTTACTAAATTGTTGCTGTGAGTAAACCTCCTGCAACGAGAACGGTCGGCTGACGATCGACGGTGTTTCCTGGTTAGGGATGGCTAATGGCTATAGTTTCCATGAGGTTGACAAAATATACATCGAAACAAATTCTGAATTCTAATGGTGATGTAAACATCCATGCATGTAAACTTCCTTTTCATGTAAACTAACTATTTGTAAGGAATGTTGCTAACAAAGATGGATGGTTGCATACAATATTTGGAATATTTCAATAAATGTCTTATAAATTTACACAATCTATAATGTAAACATGAATGATATATAACGCTCCATTTGCATGTATTATTCATAGATTTTTTTTCGAACTGTGTATAATAGAATAAGATGGGGCAAAAGGTCGACCATAGTTTAACAAATTTAAATTCCCAAAAGTCGATGCATTTGGAATCAAACTAATTCCATACAAAGGATTCTCTTGTAGAATTTTGATGAGTTTTCAGTCCATTCACAGCTAGAACGATTTTTTCGGAAGAGTTCCACCGGTGAGACAACAGTATGGGGTGAATAAAAAATCACTAAACATACTTATTGGGCTACTTACGATATCATTTGAAAAAGATAAATCGAAGTCAAACAGATATCTGTAGGTTTTGTGACTGTGAGACAGAGTCCTCTGAACATTTGCTCTGCGAGTGTTCAGCACTAATCGTGCGCAGAAGACAATACTTCAACAAAATCATACTAATTCCTTCTAAGATTTGATTAAAAAATCCCAAAATGGTGGTTGAATTCATTCTAAGAATCATACCAGATTGGGGTACTCCGCATTATCAGGCAACAACGGCAGTTACCCTAAATGGTAACTCGTCGTCCTGAACAGATGCGCTACTAAACAGGGGTATACCACAATAGATCAGCTTAATGGTCGTAGTGGTTCAAATCCCAACATAAACAAAAAAATGGGGTAAAAGTTCACTTACTGGCCACTGCAAAATCTTTAAACACCCTCTAATGATGTGAAGGGGATTAAAAAACCACATGTGTCCATATATTGTGAGAAGTTCTCAAATTTTTGCCCCGTTGATTGCCCCACTATAGGCAATTCCAGCTTCCTGATGATATATCAAATGACTTATACTCCAAAAATCATCTTCAAGAAAAACGAAATCAAGCCCTGAAAAAATTATCCCTTCACTATTGAATTTTTCTTGTTGTACGCCCTTCAACCTGGAGTATATTTCATGATGGCAGAAAAGTCCAATTTATGTCAAAAGTTGTCAATTATCCATATTTTCAATGGAATTTGGTTGTGAGGATAAGGACTGTTGCTGATAAATGCTTTAGTGATTGGTTGTTTAGCTTCCGATACGAGTTTGAGTTGTTCAATTTAAGTTAATTCTCTATATTTAAAATCTACTGGATCACTTTAGAATTAAATACAGTTCGAAACATAAATAGCTGTTCAGCTAATGTGTGTCATTGCACTTCAAGAGAAAGACATTTAAATAAGCGCTTGCTTGAAAACAACGCTCATACTTCATATACAGATTCAACCATCAATCAAACTCAATACTATACCGATAAGCAGCTCTTTGGAGCATCGTTCATACTTATTAATATAAAACACTTATGTTATGTCAAATTGACTTTTTATTAATCTACGCAGTTAAAAAAAGTAATGTTAATTTCTGTCACTATGACTTATGTTATGTCAAATTGACTTTTTATTAATCTACGCAGTTAAAAATGTAATGTTAATTTCTGTCACTATGATGCACATAAATGGAGCGTCTTAAGTTTCCGATATAGATCGTGTAAATTTATGAGACATTTCATGAAATATTCCAAATATTGTAAGCAACATTTATTGCAAGTTGACAGTTACAAATATTTACATCACCATTAAAATTAAGTTTATTTTTCTGAATATCTTAAAATAAATAGATTAAACCAGTACTCTCCCAATTAATCTACAATATTTTCGCACCATTTAGTCACGCTTCTTGATAAATAGAGTATACACCTAGCGGCGTCAGCGGTGTAGTGGTAAGCGTGATTGCCTCTCACCCCAAAGGGCCTGGGTTCAATCCCAGTCGGCGCCGATGTGATTTTCTGTTACATAAAATCTCTAATCGCACCTTCCTTCGGAAGGGGGAAGTAACGCCGTTGGTCCCCGGTTCATGAGTCCAGGTGTGGGAGCTGCCTCCCTGGCATCGATAGCATTGGTATTTAGTATGGAAAACAAGATCGACGGAAAGCAAATCAAACAAAAAAAAGGATGATACACCAGGGTACACTCCCGGGTGCACCTTCAGTGAAAGCACGGTATGTGGCTCTGCAGTGCAAAAATTGTTATGTTTGGTCGGGGGAATAATTAATCTATGTTAAGAAGAAATCGCTAAAAAGTCAATTGGACTTAATATTAGTTTTCAATGCAAAAAAAAAAGAACGATACTCCAAAGAGCGTTGCCATCCCGCCGATAAGTATTCAATATTTGATAAACCATCAGCCATACTCTCAGAAACTTTTATATACATCCTGATATGCAAAATAACTTTGAAGTTCTTTGGAGAAACAAAAACATAAGGTGGTACCGGATAAGTAGTAGAGTAGTTTCCCAGTCAACCACCAAATATTTACACTGAATGCTAAAAAAAACAGAGGATATCAATTTACACATACCAATACTCAAAACTAATAGATTAGTAAGTTTTATTAAAAACTACGAACATTTACACTGACGTTTAGAAAATAATGATAATCTTTGTCAGGTATCAAGCACACCTTTCAATTATTTGTTCTGTTAATTGACCTTGTTCACTTATATGGTTGGTGATCGTTGATGTTGACCTTTCTATATATTTCTATTTGAAAGGGAATCAGCTCTGTCAGTAATGACGTTTGACTACAGCCCAACTAATGGAAACCCAACTAAAACGTAGCCCACTAAAAGATAACCCAACGAGCGCAATTCGACTGTACCTACTATGTGACTGAATTATTATTATTATTTAGCTTTATTTAGGAGGCTTTCAGCCTTAGGCTGGTTCGCCTCCACCTATGTGACTGAAACAAAACTCGTGAAGACAGTTTTCTTTTTCTATTGTTTTTTTTATGTGTTTAAACTGGCTGATCAAATTTCCACGTGTATTCTTCGTCACACACGAAATGTAATTTCATTGACCACTGATAAAACATAACTTTAGAGTTGATTTTTGTTTAAGTAAACACAACAGAAAGTGTTATGGCTCGTGTTTTGTTAATTTTTAATATAGAAGTTAAAGGAAATGCTCTGCCCTTTTGAACTACGCCGATGAGATGGAGCAAATATTTGTTGAACAACCCATCCCAACACACCAACTCGAAAAGATTTGAAACTCCGAAGGTATTTCAGTCTGTAACTTTACTTTAATGTATATAGATGAGAGGGTATACAGTAAGCCCTCCCCCCCATCCAACCAAATTAAATTGAGCAAATATTTTTGAATAACACATCTGAACATACCAATTTGACAAGATGAGAAACACCGAAATTATTCCAGTTTGAAGCTTTACTTCCATTGATATTAGCCCCACTCTTTAACAATGCTTATGAGACTGACCTATTTTTTTTTTTGAATGATTCATATGAACATACTAACTTAGAGAAACACCGAAGTTATTTCAGATTAAAACATTACTTGCATTGTTATGAGTAAGAGGGGCGGAGAGTAAGCCCCCTCCCTTCTCCAACTTCGCATATGAAATAGGTCTATAGTTTTAGAATATATCCATATGAACATACCAAATATCTTATCGATTTCCGAAATTATTTCAGTTTGGAATCTTACTCTCATTGGAACACCGGCAGTGGATTATAATATTTATATTGATTAGTTTGTCATCACTATTAACGATTTATCTTACATTTTCGGTGATTTTTACAGTAGAAATGCCCATGCAATAAGTGGGTTAACAGTTCTTCTCCGCCCGCAATGTCACTTGTTCTACTTATTATTCTAAACATCATATTAATACCAGAACGGATACCTGTCATCACATCTATAGACTTCTCTGACGTTTGTGAAATACACAAGTATTAGTGCAGAACTTGGGGTAAATTATACGTATTAGTGCAAGAAAATCTTTGAATTCACCCAGAGTTCTGCCTTAATAGACTTCTATGCAAGGGCGTAGCCAGGTTTCGAGCTAGGGAGGGGCGAAACAAAATTTATTATGGAAAATTTGGCCGAATGCCATTTCACCGAACGCCATTTCCCCAAAAGTCTTTGTGTTGCTGAGTTTAGGAGGGGGAACAATTGTAGCTTCCAGTGGGAATTGCTTATTTAATTGCTAACATTGTTTTTTTTTTTTTATTCTGTAACTGTATTTTCAGCGAAATCCACCTCTAAAAATTCTTGATCTTATTCATGATCTAAAAGATGGAACTAAACTATTGGCCTTACTGGAAGTGCTTTCGGGTCAACGGTTGCCCATGGAAAAAGGAAAAATACTACGAAGGCCACATTATTTGAGTAACGTAAACACGGCTCTACAATTTTTAACAAGCAAAAGAATAAAACTAGTGAATATCAATCCATCGGATATCGTGGACGGACGACCGGCTGTAGTACTGGGTTTAATATGGACAATAATTTTGTACTTCCAAATAGAAGAAAACAGCCGTATCTTGTATTACTTGAACGATAATCTCAGTGGATCCGTCAGCAGTTTGGACAGCAGTTCAGCATCATGTATACCGAGTCCAAGTAAACCTTTGCTTCAGGAATCAGGTGCAGCATCACAAGAGATGCTCAAGCAAGGCCCTAAGAAAACCCTCCTAGGCTGGGTGAATAATGCACTTCCAAAGTAGGTTATGAACTTGGTTTTGCATGTTACTGGTATTAATTGCTCATTCAAATCTTTCAGACATTCAGGGCTAGAGATACGAGATTTTGGCGCAAGCTGGAGAGATGGATATGCGTTTTTAACCCTTATTGATTCCATCAAAACAAACGTTATTAACGTTGCAGAAATGAAGAGACTTAACAATCGTCACCGCTTGGATACAGCATTCAATGTAGCTGAGTCCGAACTTGGTATCGCAAGACTATTGGACGCTGAAGACGTAGACGTGAATAGTCCTGATGAAAAAAGTATTATGACCTATGTTGCACAATTTTTACATAAATATCCAGATGTGAAGGTAAAATTAATTTTTCACACGTAACTCGTATTCGTTAATTTGTCTAATATTTTTGATGTTTTCAGAATATCAACTCCAAAAGTGAAAGTGAACGAGAACTATATGACTTACTAAATTGGCTGCACACCACAGTGCGGCACTATGACAGTTTTAATGGGAACTATCCTAACAACTACGAGATGTATGAAAAAGTACACCATGAAAAAATGGAAAAACTGAATACCTACAAAAAAGTTAAAAATATCCACGCTGCAAAATTAACTCCTGAGGTTCAAGATCTGAATGACTACTGGCAACGATTTGAAAAACACCTGCAGCAGTGGTTGTGGTTCTTGGATTGCAACCTTCCAGATCAGTTTGGTGCCATTGGTTTATGGTTAAGCAATGGAGAAAAACTTCTGAATGACAGCGATATTCCCAACAACATGAACGAAGAAACTGCTTCTCTCATAAGTAAAAAATTGGAAGCACACAAACAGTTCTTTGCGGCTTATTTTGAAGTGTTTGAAACATTTAATGATTTGAAAATGACCAATCTGGCCAAGAGAGTTCCCGCGAATCAGCTTGAAAACTTAGAAAAGAGACTAGTGGACATTGAAATTCACGCACGGCAGCGAAGGATAAAACTGAAATATCTCGAACATAAGTGCTGTCTCATTGCATTCCTTAATCTATTGGAAAACAAGATCAATTGTGTCAAATATAGCAATGAAGAAATCGTTAAACAGTCTCTTGAGCAACTCAAGAATTTTGTAAGAAGAAACCAAATAATGCAAGAATTTGAAAAGGCCCTCGTTGATATGCGGCAGGTTATCGAGGAATATAAAGTGGACGGTAATATTTCAAAGAAGGAAGTGTATAGTATTGACTCTTTTCTTCGAGAAATTGAAGATCGTTGGAAGAATGTATCATCGCGATTGATATGTACCGAGACTATGTTAGAAGATGTTCTTTCTCATTGGCAACGCTGGAAGAATCTTGCGGAAGATTTAGAAACATGGATTGTTGCCGCACATGATGCCCTCAAAGCAACGGAAGATGAAAAGATTGAATTTTTCCAAAATTTGACAGTTTACAAGGATAAATATGCTATGCTGACCGAAACATTCAACATCTTGAAATCAACATGTGATTATGACACATCGATCAAAATTGAGAACAGATACAAGCAAATATCACAACATTGGGATCAAATATTCCAGCATTCAAAACAATACCTTCATGTTGGAGATGTTCTACAACACAGACAAAAATTCAAAACAGACGCCGCTCGTCTTAGTGAATGGATACAAAAAGCAGAAGCAATACTGTCCCGAAACAATTTGAAAGATACCACAGAAATTAAACAATCAGAAGCTGATATAAAACAGATAGCATGTGAAATTGAATCCAAGGAGGAACTGTTCAAATCCATCAGCAGAAGCTTCCAAGCTTTGATTAAAGAATATTCGAGAGATGAAGTCGACAAGATGATGAACTTAATGAAAAGAGAAAAAGAGGCGTTGGTTTGCATAAGAGCACAGATTCCTGTCAAGCTTCATCTTTTCCATCAGCTTCTAACGCAACAGGAAGCACTGGAATCTGGACAAAAGGAAATCACGGACTGGTTAGATGAAGCAGAGAATCTTCTTATATCTTATGCTTTTACCAATGAAAGTCAGCATACAACAGCCAATCTCGCCAGACACAAAACCTTTTTCAACCGTACATTATATTACAAGTCAATGTTGGAAAGTAAAAATAACGTTTTCCAAAATCTTCTAAAGTTAACGAATGTAGACAAAAGTATCAATATAAATGATACTTCTGGTAAAATGAAACAACTCAATGAGCGCTTCGCGTATGTAATAAACAACGCAAATGATTGGGAGTTCAAGCTTCATGAAAATCTGAAAGTATGGGAGAAATTCACCAATAGTCTATCAAAAGTTGAAAATTTCCTTCGACAAGCAGAATCATGGCAAAATGCCACAGTGCCGCTGGAAAAGCAAACTGATGTCATAGCGCAACTTGACTTCTTCAATAATGCAGATCAGTCTATCATTGGTGATCTGGAAGCAAATACCGAAGAGCTTCTCAAATATCTGCCACCGAACGAGCAACGCATTATGATATCTAAGGTGGAATCCATTCAAAAGCAATGGAGTGGAGTTATATCGAATGTCCCCCAACATCTTATGAAACTTGAATTCAGATTGAATGAAATTATTTTCTACAATCACGTTAATCAGATTGAAAAAGAATTAAACACCGAAGAACAAGCATTCAATTGTAATGAGAATTTTGAAACAATTGTACAACGAAATGAAGCATTTTTCAAAACAAATGACCTTCAAAGCGTCGAAAAGGTATTGGCTTGCTTGGAAAGGATTAGTTATGTTCACATGGAACAATTTGCAAATGATCGTGCCTTGTGCCAACAGTATCAGATGGCGAATGATACATGGATTGGCATTTGTAAACGAATTGAAAATGTTAAAAACATTTTACATAAAATTCCTGCTCAATGGGATGCATACCATAGCAAGTTCATAGAAATGAATCAATGGATGGATCGCGTTGATCAATCATTAAAACAGATTATGGTTGAGAAGGAAACAATGGAGCAATTTGAACAGGAGAAAACAACTTTCCAGGTAAGCATAATTTGTAATACAACCTAGCAGCTCTAATACTATGATCTACTAACTAATATTCAATGGGATCTTGTTTTTTTTTTTACTTTCAATCGCATTCTCCAGTTGAGGGAAATAATGGTAAATTGCGAAGCATAAACTTAGCACTGAATAGTAAATGTATAATGAAGAACTTTCGGCTGCATTGAGCAGTGAGCTTATAGCCAATAGATATCCATAGATAAAGAGGGCGAAATATAAGCTTAACCGAAAAATTCATAAAAAATTACCTTTTAGGTTAATTAACGCGAGTTGACAGTTTATATCTCATAAGCTTTCTTTTCCAAAACAAGAATCCAACGCTTAATATGATGACGCATGAACAGCATGAATTACTTTAATCCAAAAGATCCGTCTGAAGTTGTATCTCTATTTCTAATTCACAGAATATCTGTTTCGAAGCGGATGCAAGAAGAGAGGACATGAAATGGTTGGTGAAAACGTTGGATTTCCTGTTGAGTCACACGAATGAAGACCAAGCAGCTATTGAACAAGACAAAATCGAAAGATTGATTACCCGCTATAAAACACTTATTCCAACAATCGAAACAACAATGGTAAAAACTGAAATATTCGCCAAATGCTATACATACCGACATGAAGCGGAGGAAATATGCAATTTGCTAAACCGAATCAAAATGCAAAGCCTAAATGCTCCGACTCCGGATAGTTATCGCAACGTTAATACTATGATTGAAGAGCAAAACGTTTCCCTGAAAGAACTAGATAATCAAAGAGGACACATAATGAAAATGTTACAAAAAGGTAAAGACTTAAGTAAAAATGTTAACGCCCCAGCTTTTGTCAATCAAAAGACAAGAATCTTAGAAACCTGTTGGAACGACACGTATAATGAAGCAGCCGAAAAACTGAAAGGGTTAAAGGCAGTGCATAAAACATGGAACGACTATAATGAGCAGAGGGGCAACATTGAATCATTATTGAATAACGCCGAAATGGAGTTAAGATCCATCACTCCCCTCCAAACGGATCCAACTAGCGTTACTCAAGATCTTGAGACAAAGAAACAGCTCGCATTAAACTTGAAGCAAGCATCATCCAAGTCTCTGATGCAATTGAATGATCTGTGCCGTGAATTGGGCTCATGCATTCATCCAACTGCGAAACAAGTCTTAGAAAAAGAAACAACTGGAATTGAAAAAAGAATCTACAATACGGTTAACTTTGTTGAAAAACGAATAGACTACCTTACAGACTATAATGATAAATGGAACGAATACAAACAACGGCTTGATAATTTGAAAAATTGGGCAGGAAATGTGTATCCTAAAATGATAACAGCTATAAAACAGCCACACATCACTCCAACCGATAGGCTACAAAAAACAAAACAGCTGGAAAACGTGCTTAGTGAAAAAATGAAAACATTGGACATTTTGAATGCAAGTGCCTCCGACTTAGCATCTAAGGAAGGTAACTTGACCGAGATGAAACGACTTAAAACTGAAGCACAGCGCCTACAGGCAACGTTCACCGAACTGAACAATGCCCTTGGTGCTGAGAAGGCACAAGTCAATCAAGATGTTGAGAGATGGGATCAATACAACCACGAGATTGACAAAATCAAGGCTTGGATTGGGGGTATTGATATGCCAATTGATTCACAACAAAACAAGATTTGTACGCTGGAAGATGCTAAGCTACTTCAAGCTAAATTAAATGATCTTTGCGGACAGTGTAACGAAAAATTCACGGATTTGCAAAATGTGATGCAGATGTGTAAAAACATCAAGTATGGAATCAAACCCTCAGATGAGATAGATAAATGCTATGACATTCTGACAGATATCCGTGAAAATGCACAACATTTGAAAGGAAAGATGGACAAACTTGTTCTAAATCTGTCTACCATGGATGTCGAATTGGCTAAGCTTGGTTCCTTTATCAATGATGCCCATGGTAAACTAAACCATTATTCGGCTATCAAACTGGAACATTTGCCAATCGACAAACTAGAAGAGAAAATAAAAATGCTAAGGTTATTTAACAATGAAATTTCCGAGCATCAGGCAAAACTTATTTCTCTTGTCCACGTTTTTGATCAAATAACTAATGGTATTTCAGAAGAAGGCATAAATTTACTGAAACGTAAATTACAGCAACCAAAAGATCAACTATCGAAACTAAGCGATAATGTGCGTGGCATGATTAATGAACATTATCAGCACATTGTAGTCCAGCAGAATTTCAATGCAAAAATAACCGACTTTAGCAATTGGATGGATCAGATTACCGCTAGCATCACTGAATTAGAAGATACTTTGCTAGACGAAACTGATCTTGCATTGCAAAACGTGCAATATTTGCTGCAACAGCATGCTGGTAAACGAGATGTTTTCAATGAGATATACTCCCAAATAAAAGATGACAGCCTTAGCCCTGCTGCTGCTGGTGATCGTTCTGTCATGGACGAAACATATTCATCGTTGGCAAGTAATTATCAAAACATTGAGTCCACTTTGCAGGAATACAAAGATTACCTGCAAAAATGGTCAGCATTTTTAAACTGGTACCACGGAATCAAAGATCAAATTCAACATATGAATGACAATGTCGTAAGATATGATGTGGTAGAAGAAGCAGACCTTAAAGATACTCTGAGCAAAGTTGAAAATTTTGCACAGGCTATCAATAATTGGAAACAAAATATGATTGCTCTTGAACACCAACCTCGTGTTAAATTCTACGATAAGAAGGGAAACAAAGTTAATGCAGTAAAAATGCTGGCTGATTTGGAAAACAGACTTGATAAAATTAGATCTAACTGTGACTCCAAAATAAATGAAATTAATGATGTCAAACAGAGGGTCGCCATTTTCCAAGAGACACAAAAACAGATAATAGCAAATTTGAACTCAATCTCTGATAAACTAAAGACGATTGTCAAGAATGCAAGATTAAGTAATATTGATGATTCGTTGGAAGAGCTTTCTTCTTTGAATGAACAACTCAGTAAAGAATGTTCAACGAAGGCACAGGCTCATTACGAAGGGTCCTTGTTGATGAAGCAGGAAGAAATTCCCATGATTAGCATTCAAGAACCTCTTGCTGTGCTTGATAAAGAGCTTGACAATATCCAATCGGAAATTGAAGAAACTCTGGAAAATTTTGTAAATGTGCGAGATCACTATAACGATTTCAACAGATATAACATGGTATTCAACAGTGAGCTCAAGAATATCGTATCTACTAACAAAGCAACTGTCACAGAATTTAACGATAAGCAATCGCTAATCGATCAGCTAGACGTTTTGAAAAAGTCATCAGAATCAATGAAGAAAGTAAAGAAAAATGCAGACGCAGTTTCTAATAAAGGAAATGATATCGTTAAACTATTCCGCAATTATAACCCACAGGACTGTGAGAATCTTCTTGACATAATAAGGCAAAACAATGAAGCATTTAAAATCAATTTAGAAAAACTGATTGACAACAGCAATGCATTAAATCAAAAATTAGCGCTTTATAAACAGATTGAAGATTTAAGCCATGACATAATTTCATGGCTTGAAGTAACTCAAGATCAGTTCAACCGCGTGCTGGAAAATCCTTGTGAAATGGAGCATAGAATTACATGCTACAGAAACGAGTTACCAGCTCAACTAGTATGTAATGAAAATTTTATTAGTCTTCTATCCGAATTCAAACGAGTAAATAATAATTCGGTGCCTCATGATCTTGCAGTAATGGAAAACAAAATTAAAAGCATGTTTTCCGAGCTTCAGGCTCACTTTGACAGAATAAGTAACAAAATGAACGAATACATTGGGGAAGAACGTAGCTTGAAAGAGCGAATCAAATTGGTCATTGAAAAATTGTACAACATTCGCGAAGAAATCATGAACTGCGACGATGTTACATTGGATTCAAATAAGCAGCTTCGAAACCTGGACAGGTTGAAAAAGCTACGAATGGATGTAAACTCAGTGGGTGCGGAGATCACTGATTTGAAAAATCACTTTGTCAGTATCGAGACGAAATATGAATCCATTAAAGAAAGCACTACCTCTAGAGAATTGCAAAACTTGGAACAACGTTTTGGACTGGTACTAAACAATCTCAACGAAGTGGAGGGCAAATTGAATAAGGCTGTTGAGAAAACGTTCAAAGACAAGGTATTGAGTCTCAACCGAATTGTTTCATCGCAAATAGAAAAACTTAAATGGTGCTATCCAGAAACTAACAGTGATAAATACAATTTGGAAATAAAAAAGTCCACTTTGTGCGATATAGAACAATCCATTACCGAGTATGATGCATTGTTAGTCAATGTTTCGGACTTCTTGAACTCTCTAGGTGGAGTCATCACTCAACCGAAACTTGATCACTTTAAAGAGGAGAAAGATGACGTTGAAAACGGTTTTAAGCACCTGAAATCGGAATGTAGTAAAGTGAAGTCTACATTGAATTCGAACATCGCTTTATGGACAGAATATGAAAAAGTGTCCGGAGATATAGTCAAATGGCTAAAAGAGGTAGAAATCAAACACAAAATGGAAACAGTACTGTTGATAGATTTGAACACACTGGGTGATAAAATCGAAGAAACAAAAGGCACTTACAAAGCCTTAACTGATTTTGAGCCTAATTTGAGAAAGCTTCATGATATTGCAAATAACATCAATAAACTGAATCCAGATTCGAGAGCATTGGTGCTTGTGCAACAGTTACAAACACGATTCAATACCTTTGAAAAATATTTTTCGCTTCTATTACACAGATTATCAGATGTAGATTCTAAGAATGAACAATTCAAAAATCAATTGAAAGAAGCATTTGAGTGGATTGAAACTACGAAAGCACATCAAATGCGCTTCAGTAAAGTGTCAGACAAAGATTACGACGAGCTGAAGAATTGTCGCAGTCAAATTGTGGCGCATGAACAATTAGTGAATGACGCATGTTCTTTGGGGGAGAATTTATACGCCGAAGTAAACCCGGAGTGTCGTGAGACAATTAGGATGGAGGTCTTATCGTTGAGAAATGCGTATCACGGTCTTTTAGATGGATGCAATACAGTTCTTAAGGAAATGGAAGCAAACATCATAAATAAAAAGACAATCGATGAAAGCTATTGTCAGCTTCTAAAGTGGCTGATTGATCTGGAAAATAAGCTAAAAACTTTACCTGCCTTCTACGCCACCTTACAACTTAAAAAAGGTGCATTATTTGAATGCAAGGCTATGATCAAAGATGCAAATTATCATAAAAGTAGTGTTGAGCAGTTATTAAAACGATCCACTGCATTATACAGCACAGATAGTTTAGCGAATATTGATGAAACATGTGAAAAATACAGTACACTCATAAACGATCTTTCGAAAAAGTTCGATATATACGAGAAATGCGTGAAAGACCACGAACATTACAACAATGTACTGGAGAAGTCAAGAGATTGGCTGTTGAAACTTCAATCGCAAACCAACGAAGTTTTCAACAATGAGAATGATCTGAATAAATGCAAAATTGAAGAATATCTCATGATCCTTGATAATACCCTTTCCGAGGAAGAGATCGTTCTAGATTGCGTTAATGATTGTTATAATCAGTTCACCGTTGTCATGGGACAAACTGACGAAGTTGGGCATTCTGATCTTCTCAAAACATTTGAAGAAAACAAACGCAATTGGATACAGTTTTTCGAAAATTGTAGAATGAATCGGTCTAAATTGGCAAATATGATGAATCAAATCGAAAACGCAAATCACAATCTCGACGAATGTCTGGCCAAGCTGGGTGACACCAAAAACAAAATAAAAGATGTCTCGTGTCAGATGCCAATTGGTTCAAAACAAGATATTATCACTGACTTGGTGGGGATCAAGAAGGATATTGAAAATCAAGGCGTACGAATAAGCAACATAATAGAAGAATGCCAAGGGTTGAAGGCAAATAATGATATTTCTGCTAAGATGTATCACGTGCAAAATGAATACCGTAGCATTATGAATTTGTGTGCTGATGCAATTAACAAAGCAGAAGCTGCTATTCATGATCAATCTGATTTTAACAAGTCATATGATGAATTCCAAGCCATATTGACAAATAATTTGGAATCACTTGAACAACTGGAACAATTAGTGGGTGATTTGAATGTATTACAAAACCGACAAATACGCCTAAAAGAGATAGCATATAAGAGACTTGACGATGGAAATACCTTGGAAGAATTGATCGCCAGGGGTGAAAAATTGTATGCTCAAACATCACCAGACAGTCGAGAACAAATCCGTCAAAGATTGTCCGATTTGCGTCAACTGTGGGATAAATTCTCTGATCAATTGGAAATGGTATCTCAGAAAGTCGACCAATGTATTCTCCAACTTGGAGAATTCAATTTACAACAAGAACAGCTTTCCAAATGGTTGAAGGATATCGAAGCGTCAATGAAGATCACTGCTGAACTGAAATCAAACATTCAGGATAAGCGTTCCCAATATCAAAATCATAAACTTATGCATCAAGAAATTCTCGCACAAAATACACTGCTTGACTCAGTATGTACTAAAGCACAACAATTGTTATCATTGACTAACGATCAGCACCTTGAAACATATTTAATATCCATTAAGGATACTTACAAAAATATTGTTCTGAAATCGAACGAACTTTTGGATAGCCTGAACAATTGTGTTAATGCCCACAATAATTACACAACTAGCTATGGTAAACTAAAAAATTGGATCACCGAGGAAAAGGATAAAGTCATGGCATGTGATGACGAGGGCGGTGAGAAACAAGAAATAATAAAACGAATTGAAACATTGAACAATTTGAAACTGTCCAGATCGAAGGGCGATGAATTGTTGAATCAACTGCTTCAACACCATAATATAAACAAGCAAAGTACAGCTCCTCAAGGAATTGCCCAAGCGGAAGAAGAGATGAATACATTACGGTCTGACTTGAATAGCCTTTACGAGTATATAGATGAAACAGTAGAATGTCAAAAAAGATGCCTAACAAGCTGGACACAATTTGACCAAGAATTAGACACCCTTACAAAGTGGTGCAGGTCGATGGAAACAATATTCCGAGAGCAGCAATTATATGATACACTGGAGAAGAAACAAAACCAGCTGCAGTTGTATCGTACCAACTTGGAACATATAAATGAAAAACAGAAGGATGTGGACGTTTTTGTTACCACTGCCCAAGCGTTATTCAGCAAAACAGGTGTCGAAAAAGTCAAGTTCTATATAAACCAACTCATAAACCGTCATCAGCTTCTGCTGGTATTAAGCAAAGAAGTGGTGAATCGGGCACAAAATATCGTCAATGATCATATAGGCTACGACGAAAGGTTAATAGAATGTAGTACACGTTTGACAAACATTGAACATAATTTGGAGAAAGCAGTGGCAGAGAAAATAACAGCAATCAATCAATCCATGTTGCAAAACATAGACATTGAGAAGGAAAAGATAGAGAATTACATACCAAGTCTTATCACGGCCAGTGAAAAAGTGTTGACAGAAACTAGTTCTAACGGGCGTGAGAAAATACGGGAAGATATAAGAGAGATTAAAGATCGCTTTGACAAAATCATCATTGCGGTAAACAATCTGAAAAAGCAGTTTGACGTAAGGTCTGTACAATGGTCTTCATATCAAGACATTGTGCAGCAAATATTGTCCTGGCTTGATGTTACAGAAAAGAAAATAGACACAAGCGAATCCCAAAGCTGGAATTCCACGCAAGAAATACGTTCTAAGCTTTTCAAATACAAAGCTTTGATGCAGGAAATCATGAGTCAGAAACGAATGATTGACTCATTGAACGAAAAAACGACACAAGTTTTAAACAATCGAGACGAAAATATTACTGCAAAAGTACAGTCTATCAATGAGCGATATGAACTATTGAAAAAATCCTCTGCTGATATTGTTTCAAATCTAGAACAATCCTTATTATTACTCAACAAATTCAATGAACTTCAAAAAGCGCATATTGACGAACAAGAAGAATTGCTTAATGATCTAAAGCAGCTTTCTGATATTTCTGGAAGCAAAAAATCTATCCAGGACAAGTTACAGAAAGTTGATGATTTGCAACACATTCTACCCGAAAAAATGAATAAATTGAGAGATCTGAGCAAATTGATATCAGATAACAGTGACCTTATATCCTACGGTGCAAAAATGAATATGGAGCAAGATTTAGTAAAAGTTCAACACGAATTTGAAAAGCTAAACAATTCGATTAATGATACCAAAATTGAGCTGGAAAAACGCATTCAGCTATGGGATGCATATCAAATGGAATTGGATGACATCAATCGATTCCTGACAGGAATTGAAGATTCTATGCGAGGTTATGGCCTGAAAAATACTCTGATTGAAAAACAGGAACAACATGATATCTACCAAGCCTTGAATGGAAAACTCAAACACAAGCATTTGTCTTTAGATGCCCTGCTTGACAAATCATCCGAGCTACTTCAAAGCAGTGGAGATGCAAAAATATCCTTCAATATGCAGCAGATTAAGTCTCGAATGCAGTCTGTTGAAAATACCATAAAAGAAATTTCGAAGAAATGCGAACAAGCATTTGAGGAACATAAAACATACAAAGGCAAATATGACGAATGTATTGCAGTACTGGACCAAATTAAGGAGACGTTTGTGAACTGTAAGACCAATCAGCAGCAAAGTCTGGAGAATGTTATTCAAACTATGAAGAAGTTATTAGCCGAGCAAAACTCTGTTAACGTGCAGTGTAGCTCTGTGTCAGATATGGGAGAAAGACTCTACACTTCAACAGCCATGAAAGGACAGCAAGCGCTTCGAACTGAGATTCAAGAATTGTTATTACGATTTGAACGCTTGTTTGATGAAATCAGTTCTTTCTTAAAAACATGCGAAGCTAAATCCACTAAACTTTCAGGTTTCAATGAGAAGCTTGCTCAAATTCAACAATGGTTAAATGGCATCGATTCAAGTTTGTCTGGCGAAATGGTCTTGAAACCAACCCTTGATGAGAAAATTTCCCAGCATCAAGCATATCAAGATATGATGAATGACATAAAAAATCATAAGCCTGAACTGAACAACATACAGGATCTGCTCAATAACCTTAAAGAAGAGGATGTGAGCATAGATCTTGTTTACAGCGAGGTCAATAAGGCATACAATGAATATTTTGATAGATGTCAAGGTTTTGTGGTTGCTTACGAAAAAATCGTAAACAACCATCGTCAATATTGCAAGGCGGTATTGGAAACTTCAGATTTCATTGACGCAAATCACAATACAATTGAACTTTGGGGTGAGACTGATCTTGACCAAGTGTCGTTGCTTACGAATCTGGATCGATTGAACGAGTTGAAGAAATCTATCATATCGGAAAACAATCGAATTGAGCAGATACGAACTATCGGGGAAATGACCATTCCTGATACTAGTGACGACGGAAAGACTAATATCAGATCGCAAATAGATATTTCTCAACAGGATTGGGAGGGGCTTTTAGTAGCTATTGATAGCACAATTGAAAAAATTCAATCCAAAGTATCGGAATGGAATGATTATGAAAAAATGCGTTCGGATTGTATGAATTGGATCCGTAACGTGGATTCAAAGATACACTCAGTTGATTTGAAAGCTACCCTCAACGAAAAGAAAGCGACATTAGATTATCTGAAAAGCTTACAGGGTGAGGTGAAAGCTAAGGAGTTAGAAATTGATAATTTTACCGAAAAGGCGCAACAACTTTATAGAGGGTATCTTAGCAGTAGGAATTCACAAATATCGGAATTGGCTATAAAGTATCAACAAACAGCAAATCGCGTAAAAGAACTTTCCACAAGATGGCAGCAATACGTTATCAACCATCAAGAATTGGAAACCCAGATTTCCAATTGTAAGCAATGGTTGAATGGGGTAAGAGAAAAATTGAATTACTGTACTGACCAGAGTACTACTTCCGAAAAAGAACTACAGAGCAAATTGAAGCTAATTCAGGAGCTCATAGTTAATAAGGACGAAGGAAGCTCAAAGATTCAGCTTATAATGGATCTGGCACAGCAAGTTCTTGCCTGTACTACTTCGGCTGGCCACGAGACAATTAATCGATCTGTAGCGGCTTTACAAGAGGATTGGTCTGTTTTGACACTGAAAATGATAGATGTGAAAACTAATTTGGATGAAGCTATCAATCAATGGTCAGGATTTTTAGACCAAGTAAATGATTTGCGGAAGAATATTGAATGGATGGAAAATGAATTCAAAGGGTACTCAGAATTTCAACCGACAATGGCGGAAAAACGTGCTCAATTGGACAGAATTAAAAATTGTGAAGAAAAAATTCGTATTGAACGCATTGAAATTGAACCATTAAAACAGAACGCAGCAGAAATGTGTCAACAAACTCAAGCTGCATGCACGGCGCAACAGATCCTTGGAAAGTTTGATTACATGGCTGACCAGATCAGTAAACTACTCACTGAAAGAGAAGACCAATATCGGGATCATCGATTGTACAAAGAGGCATATGACGATTTGTTTAATTGGATAAGTAGAGCTCGTGAAAAGTTACCATGTATAAAACAGCAATCGTTAAGTGACAAGTTATCAATAGACAACGCAATCGCTCCTTTGGATTCTCTCATGAACAAAAAAGCCCAAGGAGAACTCTTAGTGGAACATTTAGTTCACACTGGTGAAGTAGTTATGGCATCAACGTCTGCTAAAGGTAAAGAACTGATCAAGAGTGACATAAATGGGTTGAAAAACAATTTTGAAAACCTATTCAAGGAGATTGCTGATCAAAAGCGTAATCTTGAAAAAACTATCTCGATGCTTCGGGAATATAAAGACGAGTATGAACGTCTTTCGGAATGGCTGCAGCAAATTGATATAATTGTTAAAAATAACAAACTGACCATGTCCTCCAATTTACAAGAAAAAGATAAACAAGTCAAAGATATGCGAGAATTGATCGACAGATTAGGCAAAGGGCAAACAGAAATGGATAAATTCAACGCATTTGCCGCTCCACTTTTACAATCCCATTTAGATTCCTATATTGGAAACCAGTTAAGACATCTTAATTCTCGGTACCAGGTGCAAGTAAATATTGCTAAAGATGTCCAGAAGAAAGTAGAATCAAACTATGAACTTCATAGAGATTATAATGATTATCTACGGAAAGCAAACGCTTGGATAGAAAATGCTAAGGACATTGTTAGGTACTCAACAGATAATGTAGAACAAGTTAGTAAGGAAAACTTGGAAAAACGGCTGGAAAAAGTTGTCGAATTAATTCAACAACGTGATCAGGGACAAAATCTAGTGAACAACACAATCAACACTGGAGAAAAAGTGGTAAAATGTACGAAATCCGATGGAAGAGAAGTAATCAACAACGAACTCAAAGAAATACAAAACAGTTGGGACCGTCTTGTGAAAAAAATGTCCACCGCTAAGGTTCATTTGGAAACCAGCTTACTTCAGTGGGCAGACTATAGCTCCAGCTACAATCATCTCACGCAGTGGATGCAGGATCGGGAATCAAAACTACAGAGAGTCAGTGAGCAAAAGGTTGTAAGATTCAAGACAAGTGCACCTTCTAGTCTCAGCAGTGGTTTGAATGAGAGGAGAGCTAATTTACGCCAAGCCAACGACATTGTTCAAGACATAGTTTCCTTTGAACCAATGATTCAGTCGGTTGCCAATAAAGCGTCGGGTCTTCATCAAACATCTCCAGCTTCTGAAATTTCACACAAGTATGAAAATCTAAGCAAACAAGCCAAGGAAGTTTTTGCTAAGCAAAAAGAAACTGTTGAACTTCATCAAGCCTTTATCGACTCGAGTAATGAATTTGCTGCCTGGATTCGTAATGCCAAGGAAAATCTAAACAAATGCACTGATTACAAAGGTGATAAGGATTCTTTGGTTTCGAAAATGACGCAGCTTAAGATTCTTGAGAGTGACGCCCCCGTTGGACAGAAGAAACTCGAGAAAGCTCTTGAGCAAGCTGAGATAGCATGTCGAATAGTCGATGCGGAAGAATGTGAAGCTATAGAAAAGGAGGTCGCTATTCTTCAAGAGGAATTCGACAACTATTGTCTAGCTTTGAAAAAAATTGGAGCGGCTCTGGAAAATGGTATTGTTCGTTGGACTGAATACGACGACCAGTATAAAATTGCTCAGAAATGGTTGGACAAAATTGAGCAGGAAATTCAATCATATAATAAAATGCAAAATAGTCTTGAAGAGAAAAAATGTGTGTTGGAAGAGTTCCAGGAAAAACTGCAAACCTTATTCGATTGGCAACGCGAACTCGATACCTTGAACATGAAAGCTCAAGTCCTGCTAGAGATTTGTGCTGATACGCGAGTTAGTAACGGAGTTACTCAGCTAACCACCAAATATAACGTTCTGTTATCAATTGCCAAGGAAACAATGCGAAGACTAGAGCAACACTATCAAGAACATCAGCAACACAATACGCTATACGGTGAATGCCAGGATTGGCTGGACAGATTGCGTGAAAGGTTGAATGAGTGTGATGCAACTCCACAAACTATAACCGAAACACAGTCCAAACTCAATATCATAAAAGGAATCCGACAAAGCCTTGAGCAAGGTCAGAATAAATTGCGATATCTCTTTGAACTCAAGGAGAAGATTGTTCTCAGTACTGAAACCAACGGTGCTTCAAAAATTGCCGAAGATACAGATAACATCAAAACTGACTATGAGTCTCTGATGTTGGATATCAATGAAAATCGTCAAAAGCTATTAAATCATTTGGCACAACTTGAAGACATAGGAAAACTTTCAAAAATCCTCTCCGAATGGGTTGAAGAGGTTCAAGGCAAACTTGAAGACAGTTCAGTACTCACTGAACTATCTGACAGGCGGGTTGCTTTGGAAAAGTACCGTGCTATCCAACGTGAAACTGGAAACTATAACGAGATAGCAGACAAGATCAAAGAAAAACTCACTGGAAATAGTAGCATCGGAAGCGAAAAACACAACCAACTACTTAAAGATCATGAAGATTTGGTTTCAAAAATTGCCATTGAGATTGAAAACTTGGAAAATCAAGTCAATAACTATGAGAAATTCAAACAGGGGCTTCAAGAGTTATATGAGTGGATGAAAACTGCTCGCTTGAGAACAGAAAAACTCACAGATTATCATGGCGATAAGGAGCACATTGTGGAACAAATCAATAAAATAAAAGACATACAGTTGTCATTCTCCGAAGGAAAAATTTTGCTTGAAAATGCACAGGACCTTGGAAGTAAGCTACTTCAGATTGTAGGTCAAGAAGGTCAAGATTCTATCAAGCAAGAACTTCTACAAGCCAATACAGACTGGGAAGATATTGAAGCTTTGTCAAGAACAGTCGATCAAGAGTTGACTGATGTACTTTCTTCCTGGGAAAGTTTCTTGGAAAAATCTGACGACATCAACTCATTCATCTTGGACCACGAAAGCAAAATATCATCATTCAATGCTGAAAACAGCGCAGAACAGGAAAATAATCTCAAACAACTTAAGGTAACTATCAACTGTTAATTTTCACTGAAACGGAAAGTAACTAACCTACGCATGTATCATTTTTTTCCTTTTTCCACCTTTTATGGTACATCGCGAATTGATCACATCCATCTAATTTGTAAAATCGTATCCTGCACATCACAATACTAGCAAATCTTCAATTTAATTGTGAGCAAGAAAAATTCCATTGAGGAATTGAATGATATCTGCGAAGCATTAATGGAAAAATGTGCATGCTCTATGGTTCGAGACCGCACCGTTGAACTTCAAAAAAATTATTCGACACTTCTAGTGAATTTGCAAGGTAAGTAGTTTACCCAGTCAAATTTTCTGTTTAATGTATGCAGATCTTCTTTATGCTTGACCGATATCTAAATCCGTCATTTCTATTTTACAGGATTAATTTCGAAATTGGAGAAGAATGTTGTAAGCCATACGGAATTTATTTATTACAAAGATGAACTGCAAAAGTGGATTGATGAAGCAAAACGAGCAATCAATGACTCGCAATATATGACATCCGACGACATAGTGAATACCAAAAAGAAGATCTATAGCATACAAGCTCTTTCAAACACCGTTCCTCAAGGTCAAAAATTGTTTGAAATGTTACAAGATTCCTTCACAAAATCATCGTACCTGTATTCGGAGGATAAGCAAACAGATATGTTCCAAACAATATCCGAGCAACGCGATGAGCTTGATGCCATTGTCATGAATATAAGTGCTACCTTGAACAACTTAAATTCTAAATATAATCGCTTGGAACTGTACGAAGAACTGAAGAAACGGATCGCAGATTGGTTGAATGCCACTGAAGGTGCATTTGAAACATTACCGGAAACACACGGAGAAATGGGTGAACTTAAAATGCTACTAGAGAGGGTTAAGCACATCCTTACGGAAGTAACATTTAAGCAATCTGATCTAGATAGCATCCAACAAGAAGCTGCCAATCTGTTTGACTCGAGTAAATGTGCTACAGAAAGCGATAAAATTTTAAATATGCAAAAAAGAAACACCAAGTTGAAGGAAAAATGCATGTATCTAATCCAAAATTTGGAAATGGAACTTCAGGATCAAATGACATATTATCAAAATTTACAAGAAATAGAAAAGTGGTTACTTCAAATTTCCTTCCAACTTATGGCACATAATTCCTTGTACATCCATAACCGTGAACAAACATTGGAACAAATTGAACAGCACGAGAAGCTTCTGAATGAAATCCAACGTTATCAAGTGAATATTGATGATTTTAACGTCAAAGCCCAAAATCAAATAGAACGATATGTGGTGCATTCACCAGAAATCAAAAAAAGAATAGAAAATCAGATAAAAAACATTCAGGAAAGCTACGATTCACTGCTGAACACATCGGTGCAAATAAAAAATCGTCTACATGATTCGTTACACAAATTCCAAGAGTACGAGGATACGCTTGATGATATCAAAAGAAATCTTGATGAGCTTGAGCCCGAAGTTGAAGAAAAGAAGAAGATCAGAGCAGTAGATTATGGTGGAGTTAAAACGCAGCTTGAATGCGCCCAAAACTATCACAACAAACTGCAAGTTGAAAAAAGTAGATTAGTTCATGCTGTGCAGGCTTGTGAAGCAGCAACTGCAAGCATCAGTCGACCAAGTTCACCCATCGATAGTGCCCATCAAGTAATTCCTGAGAAGGAGCTAATGGTGCGTGCACGTTTGGAAGATCTTATTGATGAGGTAAGTCGTTTAGAAAATATCACTCCTCTTAATGTTAAAATAACAACTCATATTTTCTTTCTATTCCAAATAGGTCCAATCATGGATAGCAGATCTTATATCAGCCGTCAATGATTGTGAACGACAACATAAACACCGAGTTGAATTGGAGCAATGGATTGAAAAACAAACAGCAATAATTAACGAATGGTCATCTAAACCGTCCAAGTTCCGATCGGAGGCAGCAGAACAAGAACTGAAGCAAATGAATGAATTATTAAGAAACATCATTATAAAGAAAGATGAAATACTCGAAAAAGACGACCATACACTGGTCGATAAGCTGGATGATCTTGCAATACGTCTCAAACAAGTAATCGACAGTAAATCTGGCAGTCAGTCAAGTATTGATAGATACAAAAAAAGCTATGAAGATACACAGCATTGGTTGGATGCAATGATCAACCAAATCAACAATCTTGAGAAGGGAAGCGGTTTGAACTGCAAACAGAGACTTGATAAAGTCGCAAATATTCAAAAGATACTCGAAGACGATTGCGACACAATGGAAAACTATAAGAAACAAGCTATGCATGTTATTGATCTTGTCAGCAACTTGGATGCACAACAAGTGACTGAACAAATGAAATCGATTGACCGAAGATACAATGATATAAGCAAAAGATTGAACAGAAAGTTTGAAATGATTGATTCTACAAATAAAGTGTTCACGAAGATAGTTGCTGAAGTTGACTCGGTTCGGCAATGGTTAAGTGCAAAGAATGAGTTCATGAATGTACCATACACGCTAGGCTTTGACACAAAATCAGTTGAAGCACAACAGCAGCTATTCAAAAGCTTACTGAAGGAAACGGAGAATAGACAGTCATTTATGGACACTGTTGGAAAAAGGTATTCAAACATTCAAAATGATTTAGAACCAGCTGAAAAGCAACTATTGGAAACAGATATTAAGAAACTTTGCAAAGAACTTAACTCGCTTCATGACAGCATTCGTCGAGAAATCGAGAAAATCTCGGATGATATCCTTTGCCGTAGAAATATGCAAAACAACTTTGAAATGACACGTACGTGGATAAAAACCAAGTTGAATGATATCAACAAAATTTCTGACCAACTTCCGCTATTAGCGTCGAACGTACTCTCTGAGATTAACCTATGCAAGCGACATGATCTAACAATTCGGGAGTTCGAAGAAAACGCATTCAAGGATGTTATCAAGCAAGTAAATGAAATCATGAAAGAATGTAATGAAGAAGGACAAGCAAAGTTGTCAAATGATGTTGAGAGTATCAAGAATAAATTGAGGGATTTGATTGAAACTTGTGCAAGGAAAATTGAATTCATGGAACGAGAACATCTAAAACGTGTTGAATTCGAGCGTAGAAAGGAAACAATCAATACTTGGTTAACTGAAGCTGAACCAATTGCATCGTTGAACGTCAGAATCTCCAGCTTGGACATTCTCAAGGATCAACTTAATAGATTGACTAAGACATTCGATGAATGTAAAGCTATGAAGCTTTGTTTGAAAGAGCTCGATGAATATAAAAATGCCATTACCCCTACATTGAACGAAGTTGACAAAAATAATATCACTGTTCAAATAAGAACAGCGCATGAGAAATGGAATACCCTCCATAGCATATTAGCAAGCAAACTAGAAAAACTAAATAGCCATATTGAAGAGTACGAACATGCGTTAGACAAAATAAAAAGATGTGAAGAATTTTTGGTTAAAGTACAAAACCAGATACGTGACATGAACAAGCCAGTTGCCAGTAAAATTGAGTGCATACAAGATTTTCTAATGGCATACGAAACAATTCTGGGCGATTTGAAAGAGAGACGTCTTGACTTGAATACAATACTCCTGACCAATATACCACAATTGCGCGAGAATACATCCAAACTGGAAGAAATGATTATGACGATTGAAGAGCAATTGAGAAGACTAAAATCAATGCTGAACATGAGAGAACAATTCATTGGTGCTGTCAACGAAGTCGTCAAAGCAATAGCAAAAATCAACTCCGAATTTAACGAAGTTGATAATTTCTCACCAGAAATTGATGAGCGGTTAAGAAAGTACGACAGCATATTACACCACATCGAAAGTTGTAATGTAATGCTTGTCTCTACGTCGGATAAAGGACGCTTGATAGCAAACGAAGGGACAGACCTCGATCGCCATAATATAATGGATCAACTGCATTCTCTGCAAACTCAGATGGATTCCATCAAGCGGAATGTGATTATAGAACAAGACAAATACCAGAAGCAACGCATCTACCACAATACACTTTTCAAGGAATATTCTACGTTGATAGATTGGTTCCGCCAAAATAATGACATTATCGAATCTCGTCCATTGTACAGTGAAAGTCTAAAGGATTCAGCTGATCTCATAGCCTCTCATGAGAAATTGAATATCCAGGCACGAGCCAAACTTAATCAACTTGAGGATCTTAAAAACAAAATACAATCTGACCCCAAATTACCAACACATCTCCAAACAAAAATTTATGAAGCTCAGCAGTACCAAAATACTGTTCCAAATGAACTGGACAGCCGTGAAACGTACCTTCAACAAAATCATCGCTACCGATGTGCCTATCACGAAAGTCTTAACCAAATTGATAAGTGGCTCAATGTGTCCGAAAAGCGTCTAGAAAAAACTCATGCTTTTAAGTTTGATATCAGTTCGGTGAATCAAGATTTACTGGAGCTGGAAAAGATTGTGGAAACCGAGGCAACGATAAGAAATTTGTTATTCCACGGAATTCAGGAGCAAGCGGATTTATTCTGGAGCACACTCACAGAGAATGATCAGGAAAAATGTTTATCACAACTCCAATTGTATAAGACACGTCTCGCTGAGGTTTCAAATAATATCGCAATTCATCAAAACGACGTACTGTTAAACAAGAATCTACTGGAACAATACAAAACACAGCATGGAAAAGTGGTTTCCTGTCTTCGTAAGAATAAACTTGACGAATCTCTGATGAATCTACCTTCCCTTACGGCACGCATAGATCACGTCAACATGCTGTCACAAACGTTGCGAGTAAGTATTTTTTAAATCGTTTTCTATTCGTATTGTTAACTATTCGAACACCACGCTGGAAATGAAGCCGACACTTTCTTTCCAAATTATGTATCTCGGGTTTTGTTGATCCGTTTTCTAAAATACCGTTTAAAAGGTTATTTCTTCACATATTGCAAACGCTACCTATTTTTGCCAAACCGCCGTGAATTCCATCTTTGACAGTCTTAAGGGGAAGCATACCGCTCCGAAAAAAAAGTAGAGTTTCGATTTTTATAAAATTATTGGGAAATTTTTTTAAAAAATCTAAAAAAATCACATTTTTTCGTGTTTTTTAATAAAAATTCACGTGCAAAAATATTTTTCTTTTTGTAATTTATCATGGCATACAGTTGGACTCAAAAAACCACAAAACATCAACTTTTCGGTTTTGCTGAGAGTCCAATATTTTTTTCATGATGAGATAGAAAAACTATTTTTACATGTAAATTTTCTCAAGAATCTAAGGAAGAAACTGATTTTCTTGGATTTTTGATAATTTTTTACAATGTTTTTAGAGAAATAAAAACGTACCGAAAATATTTTTTTTTTATTTTGAGTGCGGTAATCTTCCCTTAAGTATGCACCTTTAGAATTGATACAACGATCCATTAAAAAAAATGGAAAATGCTCCATGCAAAGTATTAATATGATCCATATTTTTTTGTACATTTTAGCACACAATTTTAGATTGCTAAAGAATGAGCAGCTTCAACGAATTGCCCATAAACATATTTTAAATGATCCATAAAACGTTCAACATCGAACCGTAAACTAAAGAAATTGATCCAAATCAAGTTTGCTCACTAAAATATATAGGTATGATCCATAAATTGGACACATATCTTTCATGTTTTTGACACTAAGTTTTTAATGTTGATGCATAAACCTTGGAAAATTGTTCCTTTACTACGGAGCTACTCTGACTTACGGTCCTGCCCAAATTTTTTGACGAAGGACCACGTCTTTGTGGACTATACTGTTTAACGAAATTGTGTTATGGATGGATTTAAATTCTCTTCACACCCTTTGAGTGAGAATTGATGTAAGATTTGTTTGATAGGGGAAATGGACGTAATTTCGGACTAAATGCCTCTATTTTGGGCCCATACATAAAATCAGTAATTGAATAAATTTTCAATAGCGATCAAAATATCCATTAGTACCGTCCCATTGATAAATAGCAGATTTTTAGCGATGGGCCCAATCTTAGATCCATAGGCCAACATTAGAGCTATTTCCCCTATAAAGAATATAGTAATTTATTATTAGTAAACTATTGAACATTAATGAAACTTTTAGGCCGCAATCAACCAATCACGTGCTCGCTTGCTATAAATATCGAGAGAACAGAGAGAGACGACCGATTTTAGTTTATGGTTTGAGTAGCTCAAAATAATAGGATAGGAATCATATCGGTTCTTATAGGAAATTTAACGCATTATCCAAATCTGCAATAATATTTAGGGGTTAATTTATTTTATCACTTATAGTACAACAACTATAAACAAATAGACAAAATACGTTGTGACATCATGTAAAATATGTCATCTATCTTAAATTGCTAGTAATATTCCGGATTCCAAATTTATAATATTTAAATAATCTCTTGAACGAATTTTCTACCCAATTTTTGAATTAAATTGAGTTTTAGTGAGTTGTAAAAAGGCTCACGTTGGCCCACACCGTCACGCCGCAGCCTCCATTTGTAAATGGCGTAACGCAACAACGCTGCCGAAGCTGACGATAAACAACATATCATGCAGCCGCAAAAAAATCGATCAACGCACTGAATATCGAGGCTTTACGGTATCTTACCCTGAGTTTTCTAATTATTTGTTTTTTTTCTAATGTTTTTACCACAGGATTCAAAACATTTCAAATTGTTTTTTTTCTATGGAGGAAGACCAACATAAGTCAAAATTTTTACTAAGTAAAATATATCGAAATTATATAGCCCTAGTTAGAGATGAACTAGCCTAAGGCTAAAAATCTCTTAAATAAAGAATTTAAAAAAAAAAAAAATATAGCCCTAGAAACAAAAAAAAAATACCCCTGTCTGTGATAAAAAAGTAATGTATTTGGAACATGAAGATTTTTTTTAATAATAAAATACTATTTATTCTTTTACTAGGTATATACAGAACAAACATTCATGCATTTTCAAATAAACTAGCAACTTGCAAGAAATGTTGCTTACAAACTTGCATGAAATATATGGAATATTTCATTATATGTCTCTTAAATTTACACGATCTATAATGTAAACTAGTGTGATGACGCTCCATTAATGGACATCATAGTAACGGAAATTTACACTATTGTTTTTAATTGTGTAGGTCATGTCGGGTAAAGACCTACTAAAAAACTATGATTATTAAATGAGAAGTAATTGAAAAACAGACTTAATATTAAATGACGTCAATCGAAAATTAACTTATTTTTACATTTCACAAGACGCACATAAAAGAAGCGGGATATAATTGCAACTTTCCTTCATTAACCTCACAATATTACTTTTTGACAAATTATTTGACATGCCTTATCAAAATTTTGCGAGCTTTTTTTTTACGGTGTAAAATGACACGAACGAACGCTGGCCCAACGCAAGCGTAAACTTCAACGCTGTCATGATCGTGAGCCGTTCGTTAATGTGAAGTGAGGTAACAATCGTATGAAAAATGATGTTAAATTGTAACACTTGTCATGTGACTACCGAAAACATAGATTTAATACTAAACATGTTCAGTTGCATACAAATCATAACCATTTTGAGTGTGCTATTTAAGACTGCACTACAAGATGTACTGTCGACAACGCTATACATATGTTTAAAAAAGACATACGAATGGATTGTCCGGAAAGCGACAGAAGCATGTTTATTTAATTAAATATTTGACACCTTTGATGCCAAGCTTATACAGTGCCTTCCCGTTTTTGGCAACACGACCTCATCAACAAATTCTTTCTTCAAATTTATGCTCGTGCATTCTGGAGAATTTCCCATGGAATTCCAAGTAGGTGGGATCCTTAAAGAGGGGTCTAGTGATATCAGAAATGGAATTAAGTGTTGGATTGATTTGCAAGAAAATGAAGAAAACAAAAATTATGTGTTGCCAAAAACCGGAAGGCACTGTACTGCGTATGCGTTTGAATATGAATTCAGTCGTTCCAAATCTACTGTTTGTATTAACTTTTATTTTAAGTCTACTGAATTCAAGCGCTGTGAAATGAGCCATATGTAAACAATAACAATGAACGTCGAGTTTCACGGTCATTCAGGTAAATCGACATAAGCATCTGGTAAACGATATTTACTTTACCAGATGCTACTATCGATTTGCCTGAATGAGCTTTATTCCACGAATCATCGACGTTTAAAGTCATTGTTCACATTTGGTTTATTGGATCTGTTCACATGTTATGCCAGAATTTGCCTACACCAAATTGCGGATTTGGTTAAATCTGTAATGTAGATCGCTTTTCCTATAGCCATTAGACGGGACATTCCGTGGGCAGCTGAAAATACGTTTCATTATAATTTTACATGTCAGTAAACTTGAACGACTAAAATTAGAATTTTGCTTCGATTTACGTAATGTAAAAATACTAACCGACATAATTGTGGTCATCTCTTACATGTGTCAGTCTTAGGAGAGTTAAACTTACATGATGTTTTCGAAGTGTGTATGGTCAAGTGACTTTCCTACTGTTTTCACAAAATTTTGTCTTCCGTGTCTCCGTCCATGATTTGTTTATCAAAAAGTGCTGCCTGAAAAAAATAAGATTGAAATCCCCTGAACCAAAAGAACGGATACGAGAGACTTCGTTAATTTCAAACCAACCTAATTCAAAATTTAACTCGTAATTTACATTTATTTTTTAGCAAATTTCTTGAATGATTTCTTTTAATTTCAATTCCAAGGTGACACCGGAGGATCACACCTAGATAGTGTTGTCATGGGCACTCATTATGACCATGGTCGTATTTTAAAATGGTTGGTTCCATAATTTACCAGTGTTTTAAGAGGGTTTGTGTATTCTTGAAACTTGTTATTGCATAATTCAAATTGAGAATATATAAAGCCAAAATTTAAAAAAAGGCTGAGAACGGAATAGAAAAAAAAAAAACAAATCAATAGATTATGCAAGGTGCAAATCAGTAGATTATGTAATGTTTTTTTTTAACATCAAATAACGTATATATGCACGTAATAAAAATCCACCATCAGTGCTAGACTAGTCATAACGTACGGCCGGAGATGAACCAGTGTCTGGCTGAAAATCGTATTAATAAAGACAACCAACCATGACGTACGGCTCCTCTAAAGCAAGATCAAACCATGCAACGTCACTATTCCACTGTATGAAGGGCTGGAGGTGTGGACCTTTAAGCAGAGACACTTACACGAAATCCACGGCAGGGAAACCTAACCTCCTTCGGACAAAACGTTCTTAGGATTATTTTTTTGAACATCATATAACGTTAAACAAAAGCCATAAAACACGTGATGAATTGAAAAATCACGTTGATATACTTTATATATGCAACCGGCATCAATGACTAAACGATCTATAGTATCTTACAACGGTGAAGAGAGAGAGAAGAGGGAGCAAAAATACACGGAAGATCTGAAGTTCACTGGCAAATATTTCCTAAAAATACCACATTCGTTCTTTCGACTCCTAGAGGATAACACGAACCGAATTTTTCTGTGCGCTTTCGCTCGCTATTGCAAGCATATCATACAATTATAATAATTATTATTAATATTACTTTTATTATTTTCAGGCGAACCAACACGAACTGGATGCTCTTAATGATATATCTAGTCACATTATCGAAAAAGCCCACCAGATTGAGAGTGATAAAATTAATAAGGAAAGTATCGAACTAAACGCCAGTTGGACTAGTGAGACAAGTCTTTTGGAAAATCTACACGAAAATTTGATTCAATTGCGGCAACAGTGGGTTCAATTGGAAGATATTCTCCAAGAGCTGGAAACAAAGTCGAATAATTTGCTGGAGAAGGACAAGAATCTGGATTTAACCGTGCAATCGAAAGAGAATCTGTTGTCTAAGAATCTATTAGTCCAGGTATGTACAAATTGGCTCAAACGAACATGCGAATAAAAATAAAGGTTGACGACATTGTTGAAACTAGACACTGACATCATCAACTGTCGATGACCGTATAGGTCATCTCGTCCATAACGTTGCGCTGAAATCGTTTTCTTATGCAAATGTGCTCACGATGATGTCACGGTCCATACACATGCATATATTCAAGACGAACGAACAGCTATGATGTCAGTTAACGATATCTGCTGATCTTCCGAGTTAAAATTTTGATTTAAATCCAAGCAGCGTTCAGCGAAAAATGACCAAAACAAGAAAACACGTTGCCACTACCACGCAAAACAAACAAAACTCAACGAAAAGCAGAGAGCGTATAAATATGTATGACTTCATTCTGAGAAGATTTCAATCTGCTTGCTTTGAGTTTTGCTTGTTGCTCATGAAACTATTTCTGGTCTGACATGATATGAATGTGTCTCTTCTTTTCAGAATTTGTTAGATGACAAATCCGTCCTTGGTCAGTTGAACGGAAAAGCTAATTCATTAGCTAAAACTTTGATCGAAGCTCTAAGGGAACAACAACTGTCACCGCATACATTGGAGGAAAAATTAAACCATTTGAATCAAATCGACTCTAGGTGAGTATTTCTGTTCGAATTCGCTAACCGGCAAAAGAACGTGATTAACATTGAGCACGACGGCGCTTGAAAAAAGCGCATAAGTTCATTCGCTCATTATTCACTATCTCAGCCATTCTCCTCTCTCGGTTTACGTTAATTCATTCGTGTTGGGCAATGATGCTGAGAAATCCTGTACTCAGCTTTAGTCGCCGTCTAGACATACAGTATTACAGTACAAAGATAGAGAATTCTTTACTAAAGACAAATTAAGCGCCATATAATATCGCCTTAAAAACCAACTTGTGTTTCCTGATCGACCGCGAGTCTAATTTGTGCATTTATAGCATCCCCAAAGCCACGGTTTATTGGCAATAAACACTGACGGAGTCGAGGTCGGGGTGTCGCCGCATTAAAAACAACTGACGTCATCGGTTAAATTTAAAATTTCGCTGGCCGTGAAATATTGCTCATCTCTCATCGTCATTCACAATCTACAGTGGGTTATTAGGGCGCATCCGTTCGATAATTCAAGATAGTCATATAACCAGCGTGCTATTTTTATTCTATCCATTTCTTTTTGTAGGTTGGCTGAAAATTTGAAAATAAAACAACGACACATAAGACAGAAAATAGAAGACTTGCAGCATTTCTCCGAGCAAATTTCAACCCTTACTGCATCTGCTCAAGCGTTGTTGGCAAATCTTAAGGAAATAAATCCTTTTGATGAACGGTTATTCCAAACAGAAAAGAAGCTACTATCGTGCAAATCAAAGGCAAATGAGTACTCAGATCAAGCAATTCAAATTTCTAAGCACATAGACGACAAGTATTTAGCTACTCAGGAGTTCATTCCTGTTGATTTAGAGGAGAAAAGAAAAGCATTGGAAGCATTGCTTGCCAACATTTCTGACACCATGGAAGAATACAACTGCAAATACCGAAAAGCCAAGGAAGTCCGAACAGACTACTTTGTAGTGTATGATAAAATCAAAACCTGGATAGAAAATGCAGAACTGACCATGAGTAATCACAACATCGATCCCAGTGAATTAAAGACAAAACTAGTCCAACTAATACACGATTGTAAGGATGTACGGCTAGCGTATGAACAACTAGTGTACAATGGTAGTGAAATAATCAAAAACTGTTTGGACAGCAATGATCAGAGAGCGATGCAAGCTGATGTGGATCAAATATCCTTTGAACTCACAAAAACAATTCAGCTTGTTGAGGAAAAGAACCAGACGGTTGACCAAATTCTCGGAAACTGGGCTAATTTCATGAGAGTTTATCAACTGGTTGTCGACTGGTCAGTTAAACTGCGCACACTTTTGAATCGAAAACTGCAACTCAATTCACTCCAAGAAGCCCAATTAGCTCGCCAAGATTATGCGGTAAGTTGTTTACATGCTAGCTGAATAAATTTCGTCAACAATCGCTTAATTTTTTTCTCCCTCCTTTCCATACTAAAGAGCGCAGTATCTAGTCTGACTGATGTATCGCAAAACTTAAGCGAAATGAATCACGAATTCGATAAAATAAACGAAGTATGTTCGACCGGATATTTGAAAAATAAATTACACGAAGCCGAGACACTCAAAATCGACATCGAAACCGTCCTATTCGAAAGGGTAAGACAATGATCAAATTTTATATGACAAAATCATAATGTCTTTGTTTATTTGGGTTTGCAGAATTTGTTCCTACATGAAACTACAGAAGAGTGGCAGCAGTTTGAGCACAAAATAAAGAGTGTAAGAGAATGGATACAAGGCGGTTACCATTCTCTAAACTCTCCAGAACTGAAAAATAAACCATTACGTGATCAACTGAGAATTCTTGAACAAATGCTTGCTGACATTTCGGCACAAAAAATCAAAGTCAATATGTCACTTGAGAAATTACAGGTATTTAACGACAGCAGTTTAGCTAGTTCAAGTAACATCCATTCTGTTTCGAACCAACAGGTCCATTTCCATTCGGAAGTCGTATACTCCGATAACCCTAACATAGTGCATAGTGGACGTACTGTTATTGAAGATCTCGATAAGCTTAACAGAGATGTGTTCCAAACCACGCAAAACTTGGACAAAGCGTTAGTACAAATCGACGAGTGTCAAAGTGAAATGCAAACAATACGGCAACGTATTGTGCAAGAAGAGCAGCAGCTTCGGAATATTTTATCACCACTACATCAGTCATGCGATAGTGATAAGAATGAACAGGTAAGTGACTTTGTGCATCATTCTTTTTTTCAATACGACGCAATTTACCACACTTCAATTTTGCTACACGTTTTCGAGAACCAGTACAAATCTGTTTCCAAACACTCTAATGAGCCAGAAATTAAATACATAGCATTTTTATTCCTTTCCTAATTGCCGCGACTCCCTCGGTACTATGCAAACTTGGTGGCTCATTATTACTTTTTTGAAAATTGAAGCTTATGTTACTCTTGACCGGAATCTATCGTTGGATGACAGTTTGATTTTTGAAATTTACCGTCTAATTTCATTGGGGTAACCTTCAACACCATGAAATGGAATAAACGTTTTAACATCACAGTTCTACCTTTGCTATGGAGCCATTTGATACAAAATATAAAAGCATTTTTGTCACTACATTCCATTCTAATCATAATTATATTCAATGCATTCATCTTAAGGGATACAATAAATTGCATCTGTAGTAAACAACACAATAAACAATTCTTATTTGTTTGGAATACGAATCGTTAAACCTATTCGTTCATTATGCACGGTTAGCACGCATCTAAATGTCACGGATTATTATTCATTACATTTCATTTTCTTCGGATCAGGTTGAGAGTTATATGTGTCTTAAATATAATTTTGTCTTCTTTTTATTTCTATACATTGTGCTCCTTTATCCTACTAACATTCTATCCAAATCTAATATTTCATCAACTCAACATCAACTGCTCAATGCATATATGGCCTGCAATTTTACTATAAACAACTTTGCATTTCTCCTGCTTGTCGGCTACATATAACACTGACTGTCTGCATCACAAATTGACATCGGTACATGGGACTCAACTATTCAGGAATGCCGTGAACGTATTCGAGCTTTGCAATCACATCTCAATCAGATAAATACCAAAATCAAACTGCTGCTACAACGGGGCGAGCCTCAGGAATGATAGTTATCAATAAATATCCACCAAATCAATCAATTTTATCGATATCGTGATTTTCAAAATCAAGTTTTTAAATACGTGTTTTGCCAGCATAATTGTAATATTTTATTAGATTAATCAGAATATAGATTTTTTTTTCGAAACAATACTATTACGTGCTTTATTCATCCACAATTCTATCCATAAAAATTTCGATCAATAAATTGCAAATTCCATCATCAGGAACTTCCGATAACCTGGACGCATGGTATTGATGAAACTGCTCAACAACATGAGATCTATGACCCAATGGTGCATCAGAATATAACACGCCAAACAGAGTTCGGAATTCCACATCAATTTTTAATGTCGACGCACACAATGTCAACAGAAAATAACAGTGCAAATGTATCTTCCTACGAGTCTTCAAACATGAAGCCAAACGTAATATCGGTTTGGAACAATTCAGAACGTACGTATGCTGAAGTAGTTGCGGGCCTACAGAGACAACGAAACGCTCAAATTCAACGCAATGCTATTGAACTCCGTTCTCACAAAAATCTATCGACCGATGCTTCCGATAAAACTGAAACAGCCATCAACTATGAGCGCATGGAACTATATGATGACCCTAACATACAGAGTGTACCACGTGAGCCACTACGAGGCAAGAAGGACAAATCAGCTATTGACATTAAAAGAAAATCTAAACCTAAACAAACAGCTGTTCATTCATCATCTATCAAAAAGAGTAACAACATTGAGAAAACGGGAAACTTCATTCTCACCGAAGCAGCAAATACAGCAAAGCCTGATAATCACAACATTGTTGAAATGCCTCAGATTATTGGGAACACGAAAGGCATTACAACCGAGTATAAAACGGACAGGGATCCAACTATCAAGAAGGAGTCTGCTGGAAAAACATACGCAGATGTGCTTAAGGATTTAGCTTCCAGAAAGCAGAGTGCATCCTACAATTTGCCACAGTTTGACTCATCGATTGGCGTTCTACAAACTACCATCTCCAGTACAATACCACCGAGCTTAAATGTTGCAATCGCTGAGCGTGACAAACAATCCGATAAGACAGATCAAGTGCTACCTTCGTCGCAACGTAAACGCAAACCTAAGGATTATTTCAAACCTCCTCAGTCTTTAACTGGTCGAAAGAAAGTTAATACTAAATTTCAATCAACTCAGGGTCATGCTCATGATGACACTAGATCCAGTGTAAAAACAGAAAGTCTGAACATTAGAAATGAATCGGTAGATTTGCATTTTACTCAATATGCGACCACCTCCAAACCAGCAGAAAGTGAAAGCAAAACGTTCATGTCCGAGATAGAATTTACCGATGAGCTTAAGCTTATCAGTGCAGATAAAAATTGTGAACCAGAAGACAACATTAGGTCAGCAAATCTTAGTCATGATGTTATATCACCCGGCATTACTGAATCAAGTGACGTAATTGCACGCAAAAAGATAAAGAAAAGAAAAACAAAGAAGAACACTGTAGCTGATCATTATGGTGAAAACTTGCCTGAACCCACTGCGAGTAATCTTCAGAATGTTCAACCAACAGTGGACGCGAATTCCATTATTTTCAAGTCTGAACCGAAATCGCTAAAGATCGAAACAGCGAGTTGTACTTCCGAAAAAATACCAGAAGCTCAAGAAAAATCAACCAACGCCTCTACAATGGTTACCAGTGTTGAAATTATTGCCAACTCAGAATTAGAAAATCAAAAGAAGCCCGATCAAAAACGGAAAATGATGAAGGTTGAGAAAATCAGGAAATCAAATTCATCAAAAGTATCCGCTATGTTACAATTACAAAGTGCCGAATTTGAGCAAGAACTAAATGAAAGTAGAAGAAACGATTTTGCTATTTCACATGATTGTTCAACTGTAGCAGAAGCTACTGCGGAAAATATAACTGATGGATTCAAAAGTAGTCTTGTTTTCGACGAATATGACTTTTTAAATACGGCTAATAGTTCATCATCGATCACAACTGATTATGAAAATGAAACATCATTATCAGAAAAAGAACCACCGAGTGACATGGATACTGTAAGCTCAGGAAAAGTGGACAGTAAATCCGAGATTAGTGAAACAATATCGTCACTACTACTAGGATCTAACAATAGAGTGCAAAAAACATCTGGTGAATCTGCTGTAAATGGAAATGAACAAGATGACACATCAAAGATCGAAATTTCATGTGCAAATTGGCGTGATAAACGTCAAAAAATTTCGATGATTACACATGAAGAGTATCATTTACAACCAATCTCATACATGAAGTTTGAGTTACCAACCATTACGGCTGAAAGAATTACTAAGAGCGACATTGACAGCCAAATTCAAGATCAATTTAATGTTGAACATATTCTCCAAGAAGCACCAGATATGCAAATTGAAGAAGCTGTTTGCTTGGAGCCTTCGCACAAAGATGAAGAGTTTGTTGCAACAGAGGTATCAGTACTTGATTCCGTTACTGATACATCTGTTCAATCCAAATCGACAGCAGTGCTTGTTAAACAATCATCAACTTCAGAACCAAGAAATGAATTGGATACATCGTTCAATAGTGAAGTAGAATGTTTTATGGCTTCAGGTGATACTGGAACTCATTTTTCAACAACCACTTCCAATGTTATCTATAAAACAACCACTATCCTATATGAATCTTCATCTGAACAACAAGTTATTGATGAACACTATACACAACCAGTGATATTTGAACAACGATCAAACGAGATGGAAAAACATCAAAAAGATTTCACTTTGAACGAAGAATCCAATCAGCGAACGGAAGTCGTATTTCAAACATCTAATGAAATAATAGAAAGCTGCTCTTCAATGGCTTTGGAACACGCTTCAAGTGCCGACACTGATGAAGAGAAAACTCTCAGAATCATGAGAGAAGACTCATTCAACCAGAATGCAAATAATCAGCAAGACTTAACGACTCCAGTGAAATTGGTTGAAGGCAATGAAAATGAACTGAATATCGCAGAAAACGTGACATCCATCAAAGAAATCAAACTAAAAAGCACTGCAACAGTCAGTTCCCTGTCAGAAAAAACAGCTTTCACAAAGCAAGATCACATTTTAGAAACAAGAAATGTAGAAGACAATGTTGACATGCAAACAGATGCTGTACCAAAAGTGGAGGATAACATCGAGGAAGAGTTTGGTTCACTGGATAAATTAATTCCAAAAGATTATGTTGAAGTATTGTCTAACAATCAATCTGCAATCAAAAAGGAAACAAATGTGGAACAATCAGTTACAGAAGAAGAAAATATTCTAATTCAAATAAGAGAAGAGTCATTCAAACAGGACGATTCAATTGAACTTGCTGAAAAAAACCAGAATAATGATCAAAACACGGCATCATCTAAAGAAATGATAATTATACCCACCACATTAGAGGTACGTAGTGAGCAGGTTTGCACGGATGAAGTCATGCCTATGACAGAAACAACAGAAACAAGTAATGATGAAAAGAAAATAGATACTGTACCAACAATGAAGGATAACATCGAAGAACAGATCAACTCACAAGATGGACAAGATTATATTGAAGCAGGGCCAAGCGATCAATTTGAAATCAATGAAGAGAATATTCTAATTCAAATGAGAGAAGAGTCATTCAAACAGGATGAATCTACAAATAATCTGGAAGACACAGATATATCGAACGTTGCAAATTTAATCCAAGCTGTCAAAAGCAAGGATAAATATCAGAATGACGAAGAAAGCGTAGTATCAATAGTAGACACCAAAATAATAAGCACTGCATCAGAGGAAAGTATTGGGCAAGTTAGCATGGGCGAAGTCGTTTCATTGACAGAAACAGTAGCTGTTACAAAGCAAGATCACTGTTTGGATGCTAGTGAAGCAATAAGTAATGTTGAAAAGGGAAAAATGCAGGAGAACATCGAAAAAGAATCACAGGATGGATTCATCCAGAAAGATGGCATCGAAGAATTGTCAAGAGATCCAGCAATAATCCATGAAGAAAATGTTTTAATTAAATCTGTACCAGATGAGGAGGACATCCTGGTTCAGATA